GTATTCAATATTCAGTTTAAATAGTATCTGCAAACAAGAGTATAGAGTCGGCCGGAGGGCAGTGCAAGCGGTGTAGTGACACTAGCCCCCGCGATTCTGAAAAACCCCTGGCTTTTAAAGATCCATTTCATTCCGACTTAAAATCAGGCATAATAGTTGCGTGTATTCTATATGTGTCAGAGCATAATTTGGTGTTTAGAGGAAGTAGTGATGTTTTATATACCCCTCATAATGGTAATTTTTTAAGTCTCATTGAATTACATGGAAAATTTGACCCAATTATGAAATAGCATTTGGATCTTTGTGTTGAATCAGCATTTCATTTCTATTTATCTCATAGAATTCAAGTTGAGCTGATTTGCAATTTAGCTAAAAAAGTAAGAAGTGAAATAATAAAAAAAATTATACAAGCCAAGTATTTCACAATTTTATTAGATTGCACTCCAGATTTAAGCCTTAAAAAATAATTTTATGTTGTTTTAAGATATCCTCATGCACATAACTTTAAAGATGTGAGTATAAACGAACAATTTATTTGTTTTGAACCAGTAAACAACTCAACTGGAAAAAGATTATACGAAAATAGAGAGCATATTAAAAAAATGAGAAACTAGATTTAGAGGACAGGGTTACGATAATGGTCCTAACATGAAAGTTATACATAAAGGTGTGCAAGTACTTATTTTGCAAAAAAATTCAAAAGCAATATATATGCCCTGCGGAAATGATAATTTAAATTTGGTTCTTGGAGATATTGCAAAATCATCCACCGCAGCAATTTTATTTTTTGAAGCTTTACAAAGGCTGTATAACATTTTTTGAAGCTTTACAAAGGCTGTATAACATTTTTGAATATTCTGTGATATATTATAATCACAGTATTTATGCTTATTCTGGGATATATTGAAAGTTTATGTCAAGCAACTTATTCCAAAACCTTTGTCAGAAACAAAATGGGAATGCCGTCTAGAAAGCGTGAAATCTGTAAGATTTCAAGTACTTCAATTTTCTCTAGCTTTAAAACACCCACTTGAACATACAAGAGTTGTAAAAATAAGATCGGAAATGGAAGCAATGGGAAATAAACTATGTTCTTTTAAACTTATATTAAGTGTGGTAATTTGTTATGCTATATTGAATGAAGTAAATATCATAAGCTAGAATTTTCAACATTCCAATTTGGATATCAGCATAGTGAATACACATTTAAAAGGACTTTTAGGATTTTTTGAAAAATACTGTGAAACGGGATCCAACTCTTCCATAATAATAGCTAAGGAAATTGCTGAAGAAATACAAGTGACGCCTGAATTTAAGATTCAAAGAACTGTAAGAATTTTTTATCGAGTGAAGAATATTTTAGAATTGAATATTTTCATGTCATTGTTGATGATGCAATTTATTCATTCACTAGAAGAATTAAACCTTATAAAAAACATAAAACATTGTATGGTTTTTTATATAGTTTGGATAATATTAAAAACATGAGTGAAGATGAACTTTTAAAATATTGTAAAGATTTATATATGACATTGCAAGATGATGTTGATGTGATTGATTTATGTAATAAAATCAAAATCTGTTGTCAAGTTTTGCCTTCCAACTTCAGAATATTACAAATACTGCATTTAAAAAAAAAAAATCTATTTGAGTTATATCCAAATTTCGTTACTGCCCTTTAATTATATTAATTTTACCAATTACAGTCGCTTCAGCAGAGAGATCTTTTTCAAAATTAAAGTTAATAAAAATTATTTGAAGTCTACCATAAGCCAAGAAAGATTTACTTCACTAGCAAAACCAAGTTTCATTGATATCATCTCTGAATTTGAGCAAGAGCTAGTGACATTATTATTATCCCTGCAAGAGTTAGTTACATTATTATTAACTAATTAACATTAGCGGTTTTTGAAATGATTTTACTAAGCAAGAGATATAAATTGTGCGAAGGTTTTTCTTCTTTAATTTCAGCGATTTATTTCATTATTATTCAAAATTATTATATGTAATCAAGAACATAACCTCAATTGCACTTTTTTTTTTAATTTAATCTTTTCTATTATTTTTCGCGCAACTTTTCCTGCCATTTGCGAAGTCATTGCAATGAAATAAATTATTTTTAAATGAATTAAAAATTTTCTGTTGCCTGTTTGCGCTTTTAAAAAAAGTATTGATTTTGTTTAAAATTGTTATTATTAGAATAATATGAGTTCATTACCCTTAAAGCATTAACTTATTTTTGTATTTATAAAGTTTCATCAAAAAGTATTATTACTAAGGTTTAAAAAGAAAAAAATTGAAATGTTGACCGGGCAAAAAAAAAAATTGACCGTCAATTTCTGGAGTTGGCCTTTTTCTGGAGTTGGCCAATTTTTGTAGTAATCTTTTGTGAAGAACTTTATCACAAACATTGGCAAAATTAGGAAAAAAAAATAAAAACAAGCTTACATAATGTAATGTAGATCAAAATATTTTTTTAGCAAATCTGTAAAATGGTAAAATTTTGTAACAAAGATTTTGTGCTGACAAATCTATGGTAAAATTAATGAAAAGATTTTTAAGTGATGTTTAATCTTTTCATTTTTTTTAAACTATTTTTTTTTTTATCTTTTTGGTACAGAAGTAGTGCAAATTAATCATTATTTAATTGGATCAATTTTAAGAAGTTTTAAAAAAAATGGTGTTATATTCACTTCAAGCAATATTTTTAGTACTATTACTTGTTTCATTAAGATTTAAAAAATCCAGTGGAGCTGCTATTGTGCTAGCACATGTTTTAAAAACAAAATTTGCTTATTAGATTTTTACAAGTAGATTTATAGCTGTTAAGTGTCTCAAGATGTTTTTTAAACAGGTTCCTTATTGAATGAAAGGTTGAAAAGTGAAACATAAGTATTTGGCAATTAGAGGTTGAGTTTTATTATGAAGTTAATAGTAAAGACAGATTCAATTATTTTGTTTAGTGTATTGGCAATTAAAACTGTATCAATAGAGAGTTTATGAGACAAAGAAGGCAATATGCTGATATAATTACTGGCAGTAGAGCTGCTTGTAATGCAGGCAAAAGGTCTATATGGATTACTTTTGTTGTATGTTAGATAGCTCAAAAGTATGGGTTGCATCTTGAATCTTTTTTGAAAAATTTGAGTATACTTTCATTTATTAATCAGTAACATAATTTTTCGTTTGCTATGAAGGTTGAGAAACTAGAGCTCTTTCTTCTCTTTGATTAACAATAAAATTCTTTGGGTAAACCAGGGCAGTTAACATTTTATTTGTTTAAAAGCCATACATAGAAAATATTCTTCACAGCCTTTATTGTAGATTATGCATAAATTATGCAGAAAATTTAGAAGCTTTCATTCGAATCTAAGTTTTTGAATAAATATTTTTGGTTCAATTTGAAAAGGTGATAGTTAAATTGAATATAATTTCCTTTTTTATAAATATTTATAAAGTATTATATTTAGTGTTTTATATAATGCTTGCAGTGACATTTATGATTCACGATTAATAACAGGAACATTATTGATGGATCATAAGCAATTTTTATAGGGGAAGTGGGGGCATGACCGCATATGGAGGCGCAACCGTTTTTTAACATTTCCTTTTAAACAATCTTATCTAATGTGGCAAAAAGCATACTACGTGTTGGTAAAACAGTTTTCTTCATTTCGCTTATGTCAAAAAGAGTCCCTGTTACTTTTCTGAGATGTTTATTTTGATAAAAATATTATGTTTGCATCATTTTTTTCCAAACCTTTCTTTTGAGGATTAAGCAATATTTGATTTTAGTGTTAAAGATATATGTTATCAGCATTATTTCATCAAGTGAAAATCATTTTTGATATCAACTAAACCTAATAAGCAATCTATGAAACTGTATTCTTTGTAAAAACTGTCCTCTGGGGCAGAACCGCATAGACACACAGGAGGCACAACTGTATACTTTTGATATTTATCAAAGTTAGGTAATTGCGAAAGACAGTAATTACAATTGTCACACTTAAATGCATTTATGTAAAAACTTGAATAGAAATAGTTTTATTTGAAATATCGGAAATTAGAATTCGTATTTTTTTATTCAATTGGTATGAGTTTTTTGATCAAAATATAAAGCTAAGAGTATAAATCTATATCTTGATATATTTATGTATTTTATATATATATATATATATATATATATATATATATATATATATATATATATATATATATATATATATATATATATATATATATATATATATATATATATATATATATATATATATATATATATATATATATATATATATATATATATATATATATATATATATATATATATATATATATATATATATATATATATATATATATATATATATAAATATGTATATATATATATATACATATATATATGTATATACATATATATATATATATTTTGTGAGGGTGCGGTTGTGCTTTACAATAGGGGCAAAACTGATTTTTTTACCAAGTGTAATTTTTGTGTAATAACGTTTTCAAAAACCGTTTTATTTTTTTCTTAATTGCAGCAATTTAAAGCTTGATAAAGTGGTTGATGAAATAAACTGTTAAAAAAACACATTTCATTTTTTTTTCATATAACAATAATCCAAATGTACAGGGGAAGTTATGCCCCCACTTCCCCTACAAATAGAAAAGTATATGCACTGACCAATGATATGTGTATAAAATATAACCCATTATTTTCAACAAGTTTTTACTGATAATGAAGGTTATAAAAGTAGGAAAAATGAGTTCCAGAGGTTAGATGTCGGCATCAGGTTGGCAAAAAAAAAAAATAAGTTGACACATAGAGATCATAAAGCAGAGAAACAAGGTCAGCGATATTTTGCTGACTTTAAATGAACCTCCTAATTCCGAGGGATACATTTTTGTTTTTATATTTTTATTATATTTATTTATTATTATTTTTATTATCTAATCATTTACTAATACAATGTTAACCTACTCTGAATTAAAATTTTCAGACCAACTTTAAAACATCAACGTTGTCAACCAGAAAAGAAAAAAGTATTTGCAGGTTTAGAAGATTTTTACAAAAAGGGAGTTGATGAGGTTATTTTTTAAATTTCTTAATTTTAATTATTTCTTATTAATTTTTTTTTATATTAATTTTAAGTTTTATTATTATATAAATGCCATCAAAGTTTAAAGTTTAAAAAAAAAATTAAACAAAAAAATTAATTTCTAAATTGAAATTTCAGGAAAAAATTTCAACAAAATTTAGAAAGGGTGCATGCGAGAACTGTGGTGCTATTACACATAAGAAAAAAGACTGCTTAGAGGTGTTTGTTTTTAATTGTTTTAAATTTCATGTAATTAAATAGTTAAAAGAACATTTTTCCATTTTCAATAACGCAAAGCATTAGTCTTTTTATTATATTTAAACATAATTTTAGCGTCCTCGTAAAGTTGGAGCAAGATTTACCGGTGATGACATAAAGCCTGATGAACTATTGCCAGTAAAATTTATATTTTTTATGTTACAACACCGTTATAATTATTATTAGTTTGTAAATAGTTTCATTTTTATAAGCCAACAAAATTTTTAAAATGATAACTGGGTATGTAGTTTAATGTGTTTATATAAATTAAATAAAATAGGATTTAGATTAATTTAGATTATTATTATTATTTCTAAAGTTTACTCTGGATTTAAGTTAGCACAGCACTAATATTTTTTGCTGATTTTTAGAATGTTAACTTCAGACTTCAGCATTATAATTCATATAATGTATAATTTTTTTAACATTATAAAAAAATTATACATTATATGAAATATAATGCATAATTGCTGTAATAAATGTTTTTCATACATAGATACTGTCTATCTAATCATCATATGTTATTATATAGTTATACTATTTTCAAATAAGAGAGTTTTGTCAAAACAAGTTGTTAGGATCTGGAACAAGAAATGTTTTATACATAAATTAAATAATTATAAAAAAATAAGTTTTTAAAATTTTTTATTTCAATTTACCTCCTCAAGGCCATGAAAGCCACTACAGTTGAGGAGGCTACTTTTAGTTCTCAACCCTCTCTCAACTCTATAACTCTGAAACACGAACTTTGAAAAACAAGGCCGCTGTGTGGAGAAACAAGTTGAGCCCTGTACTACCATGGACATGGTGGTGATTGAACTTGGAACTTCTTGCTTATGAGGCAAGCGCTTTACGACTACACCACTACTGCATAAATGCCACCCCATCAATGCATTTGCATCATTATCCTAAAAATAACATATTCATGAAATGATTCCATTGTATTTGTATAACTCAACTTTCATTAGGTTATTATCATTTTAATAGAAAATTAATAGGAAGTTATTTCTAACTAGACCTTGTTTCTCAAAAGGTTACAAATATGTAAATAAAATTGATAACCTTAAAATTCATTATATTTTTCTAAGGTAAGTCTGAATCAGTATGCTTGCAAACACAATTGTTTAAGCTTACAAAGTTTCTTTTATCAAACAGTTAAACTATGAACAACTTTCCTACCATAAATATATGAGTATGTATAGCTATTGAAATTATTCTGAAATTTCTAAAAATTTGATGAGATTGAATGCCCCAAAATATTTACAATTATGAAGTTGAAACTTTCTTGCATATCTTAAAGAAATTCTTAACTTTAGCAAGTTGTGTTCATATTAAAATAAGTGTTTAAAAAAACGCTGTTGTGCTGAATTTTTTTGATTAAAACTTAATAATAGTTTTTAATCTGATTTACTTTCAACAAGATTGTAAGCAACCACTATTAAATTGGGAGTTACTAGAAAAAAGAGTAGAGTAATGACATTGGAAACAGTTGACAGAAGAAAAACTGTAGGTTATATGAATTAGGAAAACAATAAGAGAGTTCCGAATAATAAAGTGCAGGGAAAAAACTAGATGAATAAAAGGTTTCAAAATGTGTACAGGGACAGATACAGTAAAAGAATGAGACTTTGTTAAATGCTTCAAGACAAAGACCAAGACATCAAAATATTAACCCAATACCAAGACCAAGACTTTAAAAGTTTTTACAAGACCAGGATCAAGACTTAGTTTCTAAGAAGTCTATTACAATACAATTCATGCTCACACATGTAAGGGGTAATCAGATTCTATTAGTTGAACAGCTTCACACTCCTTTATTTATTAGGCTGGTGTATATGTATTTATAATACATTGTTTTCAGTTTAGAATGTTGAATGCTGAATCTTCTTAGCTTATTGCACGGGTTTTGCTTGTGTCTTTGTTTTATGACTAGACAACTCATTCTACTATCTCTAAAAAGGGTACAGTTCTAAAATTCAGTTTTATGGTTATAAGGCTGGCTAGTAGTCAGGTTTCCCTAATTTGATTTAACTATTAGATATTGTGCTGAGTACTGTCTGTGCTTTGAGTCAAGTTCTTTAACAAGTTTAAAAATGACTAAAGTATCAAAAACGATAAAATACAAAAAAGCTGTCTCATCTTGTGATGACTTTTGCCTTTCTCAACTTTAGCTCAATCTTCACTTCTTACACACAACTTTATTTCAATCTTCACTTCTTACACACAACTTCACTTCAATCTTCACTTTTTGCACACAAGTTTCTTATATACAATTTTGAGTCACTTACATAACTTACATAACTTACTGTCAGAAAATTAATACGGTTTTGATCCTTTAGCTCTATGGCTGACTTGCTAACTGTTGTGACTGAAAGATTTTATCATGTATTAGATGGAAGTGGCAAGGCTAGGGCTACTCTTGACGTATTTGAAGCTATCATCAAAACTTGGTGCTAGTCTTCTCGATAAGCTTGCTTTTTATGGTACATCTGCAAAAGCCTATGAGATTATCCAATCATTTCTTTCAAACCGCTTTATTAAAGTCATCCTGAAAGCCCAACATTCATTTCCATTAATTTCTGGGGTACCTCTAGATTCTATCCTTGGTCCTGTTTTGTTTCTAATCTACATTAATGATCTTCCTGATAACCTTGCATCTAAAGTGGCTCGATTTGCTGATGACTCAACTTTATACTCCTGTCTTGATAAATAGTCTTCTCTTTTCAATTGCTTAGAATAGGCAGCCGATCTTGAATCTGATCTTACTTCTTTAACAGATAGGAGCTCACAGTGGCTTGTAAATTTTAACTCCAACTAAACTCAGTTATATACTGAAAACAACTATCACAATACTGCTGAAATTTCTATATTCATGAATGACAACCCTCCTATTGAGTCCTCTTTTTTAGGTCTTCTTGGATTATCATTCACTAATGACCTCTCATGGAAACCATATATAGAATCAATTGCTAAGTTAGCATCTGCTAACTCTTCTCTTTTTCTCCTAGACAAGGTTCAAAAATGCATTTTAAATGTAGTTGGACTTAATTGGAAGAAAGGCTCAAGCTTCATCTGCCAAGCTTGAGCCTTTCTTCCATTGGCGTAAAATTGCACCTATTTTAATTTTCTACTAATACTATCATAGTTGCTGCTCAAAGAAGCGATTATCTCTAGTTCCATCATCCAAAACTCATTCTTACTTGGTTCATCATTTAACAAAGTCTCATTCTTTTACTGTATCTGTCCCTTGACTTTTGCCTTTCTCAATCTCTAACACAAGTAGTCAACTTTCCAATTTGTTTCTGATCTTAGTCAGTGTCATTTTCTTCACATTCTTGTTTCTGATCCTTATCAGTGCTCAATTTCTTCACGTTCACCCTTCATTCTGGTGCTTCTGATCACGGTTTGATCTCTCTAAAACTGATATCTTGTTCTTCTTCATCATCAGAATCCCTCTATCATCATATCTCTTACAACTATTTTAAGGCTGGCTGGAACTCTTTAGGTGATTTTCTTTGTGACAGCCTTTGGGTTAAAATCTTTCATCTTCCTGCTAACAAATGTGTTACTTATTTAACTTTGTGGATTCAGGCTGGCATGGAATCTTTTATTCTCTCTCAACGATTTCAAGCCAAGCCTCAATCGACTCCATGGTTTTTCTCTCATTATGCTGCTTCAATTTCCAATCATAACCACTACTTTCATATCTATCACCAAAACAATTATCCAGAAAACAGACGCCTGTTTACTATTGCTAGAAACCTTCGTAAAAATATTTTTTCTGACGCCAAAACTTGCTATTTTCAATTCAAAAATCTTATATTTTATCTTGAAAATAAGGCTCCCAAGACTTCTGGAGAATCTTTAATTGTGCCTATAACAAGGGCAAATCTGTCATTCCACCTCTCTTACATGGTTCAACTTTTGTTACTTCACAGAAAAAATCTGAGCTGTTTGTTAAACACTTTTCATCAGTCTCATCTTTTGATTCCACCAATCACATCCTACCTGATATAGCCAACAAACAGGTTGATCCATTATTTGGCATTTGTATCACTTCTGTTTCTATATCTAAATTAATTTCTTGTTTAGACTCTTCTACAGCTTATGGTCTAGACAACATACCTGTTATGGTCTTGCAGAAGTGGCTTCTGGAGCTGTTGTCTATACAAAACTATTTAACAAGTGCTTACCAGAGTCTTATTTTCCAGCCTGCTGGAAAGTGGCATCTGTTATCCCAATTTTCAAAATATCAGTAGAGCAATCTGACTTGTCTAACTACTGTCCCATTATTCTTATTCCTATCTTAAGCAAGGTTTTTGATTCTTTATTTTACAAACACTTAATCTTTCATCTTGAATATATCAACTTACTTTCTTATCATCAATATGGATTTCGATCTTCTTGTTCTACTGCTGATTTTGTTAACGATAATAGCCAAAAGGTTTTATTGTACATTAGATAAAGAAGAGAATAGGTTTATCACTTTCAACATTCTAAAGCCTTTGATAAAGTTTAGTATGTTGATCTTCTCCATAAGCTCTCTTCATACGGTGTAGCATTTACGTATTATTGCTGTGTAAAAAGAATACATAAACAAGTAAAAAAATAACAATATAAATAGTTTTAACTAAACATAAAAAAAATTAAAAGATTTTTTTTTTAATTTTTCTAAAATAATAAAAATTTCAGTTGAAACTTTCTCAAATCAATGCGAGAAACTCTCGTTGAGAGTGGGAAATTTTAGTGATCTACAGTTTGTTATTAATAACTAATCCATACATTGAGTTGATATTTTTCGTTAGAATTAATAAAGTAAAAGACAGCAGAGGTCCAAGACCAAGACCAATACTCTACGCTTTCAAGACCAAGGCTAACACCAAGACTAAGACCAAGACTTTAAGCTTCATGACTAATATCAAGACTGAGACAGTTATATATGAGTCTCAAGGCATCTCAAGACCAAGACTTTGGTCTCGAGACCTACATCTCTGGTAAGAAGTGATGATTGAACTGAAGTTGTGTGTAAGAAGTGAAGATTGAAATGAGGTTGTGTGTAAGAAGTGAAGATTGAAATGAAGTTGTGTGTAAGAAGTGAAGATTGATGCGAAGTTGTGTGTAAGAAGTGAAGATTGAAGCGAAGTTGTGTGTAAGAAGTGAAGGTTGAAGTGAAGTTGTGTGTAAGAAATAGTTGTGTGTAAGAAGTGAGAATTTAAATGAAGTTGTGTGTAAGAAGTGAGAATTTAAATGAAGTTGTGTGTAAGAAGTGAAGATTGAAATGAAGTTGTGTGTAAGAAGTGAAGATTGATGCGAAGTTGTGTGTAAGAAGTGAAGATTGAAGCGAAGTTGTGTGTAAGAAGTGAAGGTTGAAGTGAAGTTGTGTGTAAGAAATAAAGTTGTGTGTAAGAAGTGAGAATTGAAATGAAGTTGTGTGTAAGAAGTGAGAATTTAAATGAAGTTGTGTGTAAGAAGTGAAGATTAAATCGAAGTTGTGTGTAAGAAGTGAGGATTGAAATAAAGTTGTGTGTAAGAAGAGGATTTTAAAATTCATTAAGCAATTATCAACCAAAATCTCTTATTTTAATTTGACTTATGACAAATTAATTTTTTTACTAAAATTCTTAAAACAGTAATCATACTTTTACAAACTGTATTATTTTAACTAGTTTGATGTTAGTTTGATGTCAAGGTATCTGCTATAGTCTTCCACTCGTATAAAATATGGAAGTAACTTTCTTTTGTTGGCCTAAATGAATGTAAACAACTTTCATGTTCCCATATCAAGTCAACCAAATGTGAACAAGATTTTTTATTTTTTCAATTTTTTTTTATATCTAGATTTTCGTATCTTTCTTACATAGGGCTGAACAAGTCAAAACAAAGGAAAAAATGTGGAAAAAAAAGTCTTTTTTCCACATTTTTTCCTTTTATTAGGCAAAAAAAAAAAAAACTAACATTTTTTTTTTTTTGCCTAATAAAAGGAAAAAATGTGGAAAAAAGACTTTTTTTTAAACATAAAAGTTCAAACATAAAAAATAGAATTAGCAGCTAAAACAGAATGAAAATACTGCTGTAATTTAAGTCTGTTAAAATGCAAGCAATACAACAAAAAGTGAAAGAATGATAAAAAATAAAAAATTAAAAAAGTAAACATGACCTGAAGACATTTTAATAGAAGCAAGATAAAATCTTTAAAAAAATGTAAAGAAAATGTTAATTTAATATAGTTATATAAGTTTTGTAATAAAAAATATGAAGGTGTAAGGTAAAAAAAAATAAAGTTTAAAAAAAAAAAGTATAAAGGTTTAAGAAACAAAAAATGTAAAGATTTATTTATTTTTTACTTTTCTTATTTTATTTTTACTACTCTCCATCTAACTTTGTGAACTTGAACTTTATTTGCTTGTAGTTTTCTACACTTTTCAGTATCAAAGCTTTTTTGCTCAGTAATGTTTTTTTGGAGCAAGAAAAAAGTAAACAATAAAATCAAACAATAAAATCATGTTGTAGAGGAAGTGTCAAAAAATACCTAAAACTAAATTAAAATATGATGATAACAAAGATCATAACAAAGTAATGAGATTTATGAGATTCATTATTTTGATTTTTTATTAACACTTAAAAATCAGCTTAAGATATCTTTATGAGATTTAAAAGTTAAAGGTGTTGAGCCTTAACATCTTTAACCTTTAGGCTGCTTAAATAGGATATGGGTACTTAATAGTGTTTGTAAATATTTTGTTTTAAATTGTAAAAGCATTGATAAACTGTGTGTTTTATATAAATATACTGTGTGTTTTGTATATATTTTTATATAAGAGTTCTTTAAGCCCCTCATTCTTTTAATATAGCAAAAATTATTAGTCTAAATTAGAGTACATTAAGCTTCTTTATTCTTTAGAAAAAAGTTTTTTTGGTTATTTGCTTGGTTTACCAGTGATAATCAATGGAAATTTTAGAAAAAAATTTAAACATTTCTGGTTACAAATTTTTTTGGTATTTACTTGGGTTACCGGTATTAATCAATGAAAAGTTTAGAAAAAGTTTTTTTCTTTAAATAAATGGAGTTTGATGCACTCTAAGGTATATGCTATATGTATATGTATTAATAAAAATTATTTTTTAAAAGATCTTTTGTGTTTTTTAAGGGAGAATTAAACTTTGACTATGATGGCAAAAGAGATAGGTAAATATTATGTTTATGAATAAATTTTTCATAATTTAAATATCTTGCGAATAATAACACTCAACTTTAAAATCTTCAAAAAAGATCTGTCAAAAAATCAAAATGTTCAAAAATAAAATAATTTTTTACCCGATGAATTGAAATGTTTGATCAAAAATTTAGTTTGCTTGTCTTTGTTAATCAAATTTTTAGTACCTCCAATAATACTGCCTATACCTACCATAACTTCATCATAACTTCTATAATTACATCGTATCTGCTATAACAACATAACACCTGGTATAATTACATCATACCTGCTATAGTTAATCTAATAACCATAATTAATTTACTACCCGCACTCACTAAACTTAATTTTTGATATATATTTTTTAAACATTCCAATATTGTAATATTGATTATTAATGAAAACTAAAATTAGTTTTTAATCAAGTAAGTTATTCATTCTTTTTTTTTAACGAAGTTAACTTGTTTTTGTTTTTTTACTTTATTTGTTTTTTTCTTAGTAGTAATACTATCAACTAAGAAGTAGTACTATCAACTACTTCTATATTCAAGCAGTATCAAATATTTATATTTTTTTTTCTTTTTTTTTCTTTTTTTTAATATTTTCTTACATATATTTAATTATTTTATTTATTTTCTGCATTATTAATAATAGTTATTAATAGGATATAAAAATATTTTTTTTCATCATATGTGATATGCATCATCACTTAATAATAAGAAATATATTTTTTAAAATATTGAAGTAACCTTTGTATTGATTTTTAAGCAAATATTCGTCTCTATTGAACTTTCACTCATAAATTTTCTGAATGAATTTTCTGCATGAATTTTCTCTAGAATCTGAAATAAAAACTTTTTTTAACAATATTACAGTTTTTTTTTTACAAATTAAATTTTAATTTCAAAACATGCAAGCTACATTTGTTTTTTGTTATTTTGCATTTACTTTAGGTATTAATATACCCTTTAGGTATATATAATAATATAAGAATAATAAGGTTATATATAAGGTTATATAGAAGGTTATATAGATGATTATATAAGGTTGTATAGAAGGTTACAATAGCTTTTGAGTTGATTATTTTTAATTTAAGTCTCATTGAACTCATTTTTAAGTTTGTTAAAAGTTTTGGCAATGAACTGTTATCTCAGTTGTTATCTCAGAACTGGTCTCTTTTTTGTTGTTCTAATCATTGAACCCAGTCTTTTTAGCTGAAATTTCTTAACATTGTACCCAGTCTTTGTAGCTGTAGTTTCTTATTTAAGTTCATAGTCTTTCTAGTTGATTAATTTCTTAACCGATTATTAACTGATTTAAATTGATTCATATTATTTGCAATCTTTTAAATCTGTTCATTGTTAGCTTGCTCTATAAACTTTATCTTTTCTCATACAACAACTTCCAACTCTAACAGTGGTTGCTTGCAGACTTGTTGGAAGTGAGTATGTTGAAAAAAACTTTAAAAAAAAAAAAACTTATTGAAATTAATTTTTGTTGCACTTATGTATACTCTTTTCAGTTTTTAATGTAAATGTTTTAATATATAACATTTTAAGTACCCACACTAGACAGGCACTGCATGTAGGAAGTTCAGATACAATTGCCTTATTACAATCCTATTATTACTTTTGATGGCTTACTTTTTCTTATCCCTAAAACTGGCATACTTTAGTTAAACTACAATTTAGGAACAATTAACAATTATGGACAAAATTCAAAAATTGAGAATTCAAAATTGAACTTTTTATCTTGCTATTTTAAAAATTTATAGCTTATATAATTATATAAATAGTTTAATGTAACATTGTTTATGATTTTATATTTAGATGGTCTGGTTATGATGTCAATGTACACAGTAAAGTTTTAGAAGAATATGCTAAAGTTGATGAAGTATAACTTTTTTTTATTTATTTTTTATTCAATATTTGATTGTTTTTTTTTTTAATCTGATTCACTCGCTTTTTTACATTTGTTCAAAATTATGTTTGCTCAACTATATATAAATTTAAACAGGGCATGTAGATTTATATATTTATTTAAATGAATATATAAATTTATATAATTGTATATTATTATATAAAGCCCTTGTTGCTATATACAGTCAGTGATATTGTGTACAGTTGATAAAGGGGAGGAGGGGAAGATACCATTTTAAAGTTGGGAGAAATGAATTTTCTAAATTAATTTAAAGATTTATGTTTTTTTTTTTAAGGCAAAAAGGCAGTTAAAAGCTGCTCAGCTGGAAGAAGAGTTACAATCAGGAAAAAAAATAACTAAACTGGTATTTTATTGGCTTCTTTTTTTTATGTAGTACTTTAATTTTCAAGTTTTTTTTTTTTTTTTTTAAATTAACCTTAACAAAGTTATACTGTTGTCAAGAAAAAAAAAGTTTAACATTTCAATTAAACATTTTTTTTTCCATAGAATAATGATGATGAAGAAGAAGAAAAGTATGCAGATGAAGTAGATATGCCTGGCCAAAAGTTTGATGCAAATGTGTAAGTAGATATGTTTGGTTAAAAGTTTAATAAATTTGTATGTCTATTTTTTCAAAAAATTATTTTACTATACACAAATAAAAATAAATTAATTTTTCTTTGAAGGAGGCAAACTGTTCGAAATTTAAGAATAAGAGAAGATACAGCCAAGGTATTTTTTTATGTTTGATAAATTTAAGTATGAATTCAATTATATAAAGTTTTTCTAAAGTATGAATAAGTTTATTAAATTATATATATAATTGATATATTATTCTTACACATTATTAAGAATTATTATAGATTTTTATGTATTATTATACATTATTATGTATAACTATACATTATTATTGTTATTTTACATTATTATTATTATTATTATTATTACTATTATTATTATTATTATTATTATTATTATTATTATTATTATTATTATTATTATTATTATCATTATAAATTATTATATAGTATTATACTGTTTATATGTTAGCTTTATATTATTTGTACATTTTTATTCATACTATTTTATTTTATTATTTAGTTTTAGTCATGAAATATTTTAACATACTAATAATTCTTATTAGTAAGTTAAAATTAGTAAGTATTAGTAATATTGTTTTGATTAACTTCGATTAATTTGACTTTATTCATGTATATACATTTTCTTAAACATTTTTTAATGTTGTGTTATTTAGTTAACAATTGATAAAAGAGTTTTTTACTGACATTACTGCTTTATTACTTTGTTAAATTTTTTTTTTTATCTTAACTTTTACTTTTGTTTAAACATCTTTAGTATTTATACAATTTGGACCCCAACTCTGCCTTCTATGATGCTAAAACTCGTTCAATGAGAGAAAATCCTTTTACTAAAAATGGTGGAGCTGAAAAAATGCAAGTAGAATTAATATTTATATTTTAAATTTATATTTTTAGTTACACAATATATAAATTTTCATTATTAATAATCCAAAATGCATAAATATAATCTCTGACTTTTCTTTTAATTCCAAATTATTATTTCACCAAAAAGGTGACTTTAAATTTATTTAAAGAAAAACATCCTACCAGGTTCACTATCCCAATGTTTATCACCAACATTTTTATTTTTAAGCGCTGCATATTATTTATATTTATAGCTTGTTTATTTTCTATTTTTCATTGTAAGAAGAAAATAGTTTCTAAACAATGTTGTACTTTTATTTTACACAAATACCGGATTCACTATCCTAATGTTTATCAACAACACTTTTTTTACACATGAAAATTTACTTTCTATTTTCAAATGATGCACATTAGCTATCTTTATAGCTCTTGTTTGTTTTCTATTTTTCACTGTGTGAAGAAATAGTTTCTAAACATGATGGGTTCTATCCTTTGATGTGTAAAAATTAGAACTCACTATCCTTTGATTCGCAAAGACTCTAATAGTCACATGCTTGGCTTAGGATTATACATACGCATCAGTTCACTTATTTGTTGTTAAATTAGATTTGAATCATTTGACCATTTTTTCATGTGTTTCAATTCAGCACCTCTTCACTCTATCACCTTTCTCTTTGTTCTTTACCATTCTCCTTCTTCCCAAGATTGCACTCTTTTAGATATAATTTCTGATCAAATTCAAATGCTCTCTCTCTTTACCCCAATATACTCATCACACTGAATGACTGGGCTCTAACACCATTGACCCTGCTGTCACTAAAGCCTTTAACTTCTGCATTTCTCAATCTCTTACTCAGATAGTAAACTTTGTGACTTATTTTCCTGACAACCCTAATCATTTACCTTTACTCCTTGATTTATGTCTTGTCTCTGATCTTAGCCTGTGTTCAGTTTCTCCTTTTTTTCTATTTTTTTTTTTTTTAATTTGCATTCACTCCCAACAAGGCTGCAAGCAACCACTATTAAGTTGGGAGTTACTAAGAAAAAAAAGAACAGAGTTATAGAGCAAGGAAACGGTTGACAGAAGACTTGAAAAGTTGAAGGTTGTATGAGTCAGGAAAACATGAAGATATGGGAGAGAGTTCCAAAGAATTGAAGTGCGGGGAAAAAAACTAGATAAATAAAAGTTTTAAGAGCATGCAGGGACAGATACAGTAAACGAATGAGACTTAGCTGAATGATGAGTAAAACGAGAATGAATTTTAGTTGATGGAACTAGAGATGATAACTCCTTTGAGCAGTGACCATGGTAGTATTTGTAGAAGAGAGAAAGAGATGCAACTTTACGACGATGGGAAAGAGGTTCAAGCTTAGCGGATAGTCCAGGTCCAACAACATTTACAATGCGTTTTTGGACCTTGTCAAGAAAAGAAGGTGAATTGTTAGAAGAACCAGCCCAAATATGACAACAGTATTCCATACAGGGGCGAATAAGAGATTTGTAGAGGTAGAGAATGGAATCAGAAGTAAGGAAATGGCGAGCACGATAAAGAGAAGCAACCTTAGCAGAAGCTAATTTAGCAATTGATTGTATATATGGTTTCCATGAAAGGTCAGTAGTAAGCGATAATCCAAGAAGACGTAAAGAGGAGGACTCAGTAAGAGGATTGCCATTCATTAATATAGGAATGTTGACCATATTATGGTAGTTGTTTGCAGTAAACAACTGGGTTTTGTTAGAGTTGAAATTCACAAGCCACTGTGAACCCCAATCTATTACTGAAGTGAGATCGGATTCAAGATCAGCTGCTTGTTCTAGACGATCGAAAAGAGAAGACTTTTTGTCAAGACAGGTGTATAAAGTTGAGTCATCAGCAAAAAGAGCTACTTTAGATAAAAGGATGTCAGGAAGATTGTTTATGTAGATAAGAAACAAAACAGGGCCCAGAATGGAACCTTGTTGAACCCCAGAAGTTACTGGAAATAAAGAAGAGTGTTGGCCTTCAAGGATGACTTTAATAAACCGGTTAGAAAAAAAAGATTTGATAATCTCAAAAACATTCCCAGAAAAACCATATGAAGCAAGCTTATGGAGAAGACCAGCATGCCAAACTTTGTCGAAAGCTTTAGATATGTCGAGAGCAATAGCCCTAGCTTCACCGCCTCCATCTAATGCACGATAAAATCTTGATCCTCTCGCTCTAAGTCGACCTTAGAGCGAGAGGATCGAAAACCATATTGATTGTCTGACAGTAGTTTATTTGACTCAAGATGAGATGTGAGGAATTTGTTGATCAAAGACTCAAAGACCTTGCTAATAACAGCAAGAAGACTGATTGGATAATAATTGGAGGGGTCAGAATTTTCTCCAGAGTTTTTGAATATCGGAACCACAGATGCCATTTTCCAACAAGCAGGAAAACAAGACTCAGTCAAACACTTGTTAAATAGTTTAGAGAGAATTGAAGAAAGTTCTGGAAAACAATTCTGCAAGACTGTGACAGGAATGTTGTCTGGACCACAAGCTGGATGAGTTTAATTGAGATATGACTTTAGCAACAGAAGCCAGAGTGATTTGAATGTCTAACAATGGGTCAACCTGTTTGACTGGAATGGAAGGAAAAGAATGTCCACAAGATTCAAGAGTGGAATTAGAAGAAAGGTTCTTTGCAAATAGTTCTGCCTTATCCTTGGGAGAGGTAATAAGATCAGTCCCATGAATGAGAGATGGAATGTTAGATCTACCCTTGTTAATAATGCTGTTGAAGATTTTCCAAAAGTCTTTAGAGCCTAACTTCTGTGATAAGATGCGAGATTTAGTGAACTGAGAATAATGGAGTTTAGCATCAGAAAGCACCTTTTTACATCGATTTCTTGCAATAATAAATAGTCGTTTGTTCTCAAGAGAGTTGTTCTTTTGAAAAAGATGAAAAAAATGATTACGATTGGATATAGCAGCCGCACAAGAAAGAGAAAACCATGGTGTAGAATGAGGCTTGACTTGAAACTGACGAGAAGGAATAAAAGCTTCCATTCCAGCCTTAATTCAGGAGATTACGTTGGAGGCGTATTTGTCAGCTGAGATAGAAAAAACATCAGCCAAAGGACCATCACGAAGAAAATCACGAAAGGAATCCCAGTCAGCTTTAGGGTAGTAGTAGGTGGTGCGATGATAAGGTGAGCCCAAAAAAGAAGTATGAGAAGAAAGATTTATAGAGATCATTGCATGGTCAGAACCACCTAAGGGAGAAAAGGGAGAAACTGAACATAAGCTAGGGTCAGAGACAAGACATAAGTCAAGGAGTGAAGGCAAATGATTAGGGTTGTCAGGAAAACGAGTCACAAAGTTAACTATCTGAGTAAGAGATTGAGAAACGCAGAAGTTAAAGGCTTTAGTGCCAGCAGGATCAGTGGTGTTAGAGCCAAGTCATTCAGTGTGATGGACATTAAAATCACCAACAACAACAATATTGGCAGAGGGGTAAAGAGAGAGGGCATGGTCAATTTGATCAGAGATAACATCTAAAAAAGTGCAATCATGGGAAGAAGGAGAACGGTAAAGAACAAAGAGAAAGGTGATAGAGTGAAGAGGTGCTAGACGAAAGCACATAAAAGAATAGTCAAAGGATTCGAACCTGATTTCACAACAAATATGGGAATTAATGCGTATGTATACCCCTAAACCTAGCATGTGACTGTTGGAGTCTTTACGAATCAAAGGATAGTACCCATCAACACTGACATCTGAAGAAGGAATTTCAGAGTTTAAATTTGTTTCACTGAGTGCAAGCAAGTCTGGTGAATTTTGCAGGAGGTAAGACTCAACTGATGGAAAGTTGCTTCGTAGACCGCGAATATTTGTAAAAGATATATTAAAATATTTAGGTGGTGGGGATGGTTTTTTAGGTTTTAAATTTTTGGTTACTTTGGTCATGATTTGGGTTTAATGAGAACTTGACTCATTCATAGATAGAGCACAGCCTCCTAATCAATGAGCTATGCAGTTAACTCAGTCCTGTTAATTAACCCTAAGCCGTGACATAGGGCTCCTTATGTGGCCTTGACAATGCACACCAAAAGCATTAACAGGGACACCATCCATGCGCAATATGGCACTGTTAATACTCTGATATTTTGCAGCTGTTGATGGAATCAGCCTCTCTGAGAGCTACCACAGAGTTCGGGAAACCTTACTACCAGCCGGCCTCAGAACCATTAAACTGAGTTTTAGAGCTGTACCTTCATATGGAGATAACAGGAAGAGTTGCATAGCCATTATCAAGGAGGCATAAGCAAAATTCTATGAGTAGAGTCAAGGAGATCCCGCATTCATCATTCTAGGCAGGAAACAATGTAACACAGGTTACATCTACGCTAGCCTAATAGATGAAGAAGGGGTTCGAGGCTGGTTAGCAGAATTTTTCTGCTTACCCCTAAAGTCTTTGCCTAGGAGGCCTTCTACAAGACAGTAACTGGATGCAGTTAACATCTGCCCAAGATGAGTATTTTTATCAAGACACCATCTCTAGCCTTTACTCAAACAAGAACCCCAAGGCAGGGGAATTTTTAGTCGGAGTTTATTTCTCCTAGCCTTTGCCTAAGAAGAGCTCACTCTGCAAGGCAGCAGGGCTTGTGGCAGGTGGTACTGGGTTACGTGATACCAGTAGCAAGATTGATCTTGATTATCCTGACCTGACCTGGAGTAGTTAAAAGGAGTTACTTCCCGCAACAGTACTTTGAGAAAACCAGGCATGACATTTTGGAAGTGCATTAGGAAAAATACTGCATCTAACAAAATACAGGAGTCTAAGGTGAGTGTAGGTTTTGTAGTTGGAGTAAGTAGTTAGTTACTGAGCTCATTCTGAATTAGAGTATAAATAGAACACAAACAAACATAAATCAACTTACGGGTGAGTCAACACCGCGCCAGAGGTTCAGACAGAACACAAACATACATAAAAAACGTAAAGTAACTTACGGGTGAGCGAACACCGCGCCAGAGGTTCAGACAGAACACAAACATACATAAAAAAACTATTAGGTGGTTCTAACCATGCAATGATCTTTATAAATCTTTCATCTTGGACTTCTTTTTCGGACTCACCCTATCATTGCACTACTTACTACTACCCTAAAGCTGACTGGAACCCTTTTTGTGAATATCTTTGTGACAGTCCTTGGGCTTGTTATATTTTTCCTCTCAGCTGAAAAATGCGCCTCTTATGTAACTTCTTGGATTCAGGAAGGAATGAAAGCTTTTATTCATTTTACTCATTGGTTCTAAATCAAACCTCATTCTATTCCATGGTTTTCTCCCTCTTGTCAGCTGCTATATCTAATCGTAATGATTTTTTTAAATCTTTGTCAAAAAAAACAACTCTGTTAAGAATAAACAGCTGTTTATTATTGCAAGAAATTGATATAAAAAGGTGCTGTTAGATGCTAAGCTCCATTATTCTCAGTTCACTAAATAGCGTATATCAGAAGTTAGGCTCTAAAGACTTTTAAAAAATCTTCAACAGTGTTGTTAACAAAAAAATTTTCTTCCAACTTGACTCTCGAATCTTGTGGTCATTTTCTTTTTTTCATTCCAATTAAACAGATTAACCCATTGTTGGGCATTTAAATCACTCCAGCTTCCGTTGCTAAAGCTCTATCCCCATTAAACTCTTCTACAGCTTGGTGTCCAGGCAACATAACTGTCACAGTCTTACAAAATTGTTCACAAAATTAAAGAACTCTCTTCAATTATTTCCAAACTATTTAATAAGTGCTTGACTGAATCTTTTTTTCCTCCCTGCTGGAAAATGGTATCTGTTGTTTCAATTTTCAAAAACTCTGGTCAATATTCTGACCCCTCCAATTATTGTTCAATCAGTCTTCTATCTATTATTAGCAAGATCTTTGAGTCTTTGATAAACAAATTTCTCACATCCCATCTTCAAATAACTTGCTGTCAGAAAGTCAATATGGTTTTCAATCCTCTTGCTCTACAGCTGACTTGCTAACTGCTGTGACTGAAGAATACTGAACAACACTGTGCATTAGACGAAGGTGGAGAGACTACGGCATTGTTCTTGATATATCTAAGGCTTTCGACAAAATTTGGCATGCTGGTCCTCTTCCTAAGCTTGTTTCATATGGTGTATCTGGGAAAGTTTTTGAGATAACCAAATCATTTCTTTTTAACGGTTTTGTTAAAGTCATCCTGAAAGGTCAACACTCTTCTTCATTTCCAGTAACTTCTAGGGTACCTCAAGGTTCCAATCTTTGTTCCTATTTTATTTCTTATCTACATTAATGATCTTTCTGACAACCTTACATCTAGGGTGGTTCTTTTTGCTGATGACTCAACTTTAAAGTCCTTTCTTAGCAAAAATTAATCTCTTTTCGATTGTTTAAAATAGGCAGCCGATCTTGAATCTGATCCCACTTCTGTAACAGATTAGACTTCACAGTGGCTTGTAAATTTTAACTTCAACAAAACTTAATTATTTGCTGCAAACAACTATTGCAGTATTGTTGACATTCCTATATTAGTGAATGGCAAACCTCTTACTGTGTCATCTTAGATAATTATTTACTACTGACCCTTAATGGGAACCAAGCATCTGCTAAGATTGCTTCTCTTTATCGTGCTCGCCATTTTCCTTCTTGATTCCATTCTCTACCTCTAAAAATCTCTTATTCATCACTGTATAGAATACTGCTGTCATATTTGGGTTGTTCTTCTAATGATGCTTTCTCTTCTAGACAAGCTCCAAAAATGCATTGTAAGCATAGTTGGATCTATCTGCCAAGCTTGAGCCTCTCTCCCATTGTAGTAAAGTTGTATTTCTTTCTCTTTTCTACAAATATTACCACGGTCACCACTCAAAGGAGCTATCATATCTGTTTCCATAAACTAAAACTCATTCTCGCTACCTTTTTTATGTTTCTTAATCATCAGGCTTATCATATATTATTCAATTTTAAATCCAAGTTTTATAGATAAACATATATATATATATATATATATATATATATATATATATATATATATATATATATATATATATATATATATATATATATATATATATATATTAATGACACACAGTCGCAGATGATATCATTAATGACATCACAGTCTGTCAGATGATGTCATTATATATTAATGACACTATATATTAATGACATCACTATATATTAATGACATCACAGTCACTATATATTAATGACATCATAGTCACTATATATTAATGACATCACAGTCATCATGTGATGTCATTAATGACATTGATGTCATTAATGACATCACAGTCGCAGTTTTTTCTTGAATAAAAGTGATCACCCTTTAAGTTTTTTGCCTTTTCTTTTGAGTTCTTTAAGTTATTTATTATTTATTGTGTAAATATATTTATATTTTATTGTGACATAATGAGTTATTTAAATATACATTAGCATAATCAAGAATCATTAAAGATAAATTTTACACAATATTGTTAGGAGCGGTCCCATTTATGGTTGGTTTCGCTGAAAATTTCTATAATACTGATTAATTGCAGGGCTACGCCAAGTATTTTTCATACCTAAAGTTTTAAATCCCAACTCTCAGCAAGCAGTTTTCCAGACAAAAATTAAAGAATGATAAAAAAAAAAAAAAATTTTTCCTTAAGAAATTTTTATATCTAGATTTTACCTTCTCAAACCCTTAACAAGTATATGTATTGTGGATGGGTATTTGGTTATGACAGCATCAGCGGAATAATTTTAGTATGACAGCATCAGTGGTGTTTTTTTATTCTTTTTATCTGTTTGCCTGAATAATTTTATGATTATAGTTTGCATTTGAAAACCTTATGTTTCATAAGTAAACCATATTTTGAAATAAGTGAAAAAAATGCAAAATATATTTTAGACAGTATATATATATATTTTTTTTAGGGTTGATTATGTTGGGGATAATTTTGTTCGAACAACTGGACAAGTTAAAGATATTGCCGGCGCACAACGTGAGAAAAATTTATACATTGTTAATAATATTAGGTACCTGCTCAAATTTTTGAAGTAAATTTGGAGTTAATAATATGTTAGGTACCTTCTCAAAATTTGGAAGTATTAATATTAGGTACCTTCTCAAAATTTGGAGGTATTAATATGTTAGGTACCTTCTCAAAGTTTGGAGGTATTAATGTTAGCTTCCTTCTCAAAATTTGGAGGTATTAATATGTTAGAATGCTGCTCAAATTTTAGTAGTAGGTAAATTAATTTTAGTAGTAGGTATCTTAGGTACCTGGTCAAATTTTAGAAGTATTAATTTTAAATTTTAAATTTTTAATTGTAAATTTTACAATATAAAAAATAAAATATGTTATTTACAATTAGTGCAATCAATATTATCATTTTACAAATATGTATTTATGATTTTTTTTTATAAGAAAAAATGTAAAAAAAGTAAAAGTTTGAATAAATGCACAATTAATAAAATAGATAAAAGGTTTTTATTATTTTAATTAATAATGTATTTTATTATTAAATAAAAGGTAAACCAAATAATAAAAAAAATATAATGCATAACCATTAATGTATCACATTTTTGAATTACTTGAGAATTGATGCAAGAAACTGAATTTACTATTTAAACAGTGGCATGTTTTAAGTGACATAACATAGTAATACAAAATGTCAAACTGTCATAATATAATAATATAATATGATAACATGTTGCTCAGAACAAACATTGATCACTAATCATCACATATAATAATGACATGAAATTGAGAAAGAGAATTATTTGTAAACAGCACTTTTATTTCTTTACACATTGAATTATCAATGACGGGAGCAGTACACCAGACAAATTCTTATTATTATATATTTATATATTTATATTATTCATATATTTGTTTAAAAAATAAATTTAATTAAAATCATATGATAACTGGATCAAACAACAGCATTATAACAAAGAAACTCTTTAGTAGCAAAATGAACATTACCATTCCATATTTAGGTCAGCACTGTCCTAATATATTTTGCACACTTAAATTTGCTAACTTGAATCCAATCAGATTTTTCAGAAAAAATGAAGAAAAATAAAATAGATTTTTTTTTTTTTTTTTGCTGTAGCAAAAATTATTTAGACATGAAGCTAGATAATAACTACCCAAACTCTTAGTCAATTATATTATGAAGGTCTACAGCTCTCTATTTCAGAGAAAAACTTATAACAGCATTCCTTGCAAAAAAAAAAGTACTAGTATGTGTCCCGCGCTCAAGCATCGAGTGAATAATATTAGTTTTAGATTGTGAAATGTTTTATTAGGTTTTGCTTTATGGTTTTTAACTTTTAATGTTTTTTTTAATTGAAAATCACATTTCTATTTAAAAAAAGTTAACTTGATTAGTGCATTAAAGTAAAAAATCATTCCTTTACTTATATAGCAGTAGGCGCAGAAGATAAGCAAAGTGAATGTACATACACCAACTAACATAGTGATAGGTACAGTGGAGCACACATGCATCTGTTAAGGGTTTTCATTTGAGCATGCACTTTTTAAATCAAAGAAAAAAAAATCAACCAATCAGACATCACTACTATGCCTTATAAAAAAATTAAAAGCAATGTTAGCATTGCACAAGCAATATGGTTTAATAGAATACATTTTCAATTTCAAGTTATTTTTATGAATATACTTAAATATATACTTTTGTTTAGTATTTGCATGGGAAGCTTATGAAAGAGGAGCTGATGTTCATTTACAAGCTGACCCCACAAAACTTGAACTGTTGCACAAAACATATAAAGTCAAAAAAGATGCATTTAAAGAAGAGCAGAAAGGAGGAATCTTAGAAAAGGTACTTTTAATTCATTGATGATATATTTAATTGATGATAATGAAGCTGATGGTGATGATGAAAATGATGGTGATGATGAAGATGATGGTGGTAATGATCATCATTACATATCATATACATGATGATGATGATGATGATGATGATGATGATGATGATGATGATGATGATGATGATGATGATGATGATGATGATGATGATGATGATGATGATGATGATGATGATGATGATGATGATGATGATGATGATGATGATGATAGTTATACTATTTGCTCTGTATTCTTAGTATGGTGGTGCTGAACATTTAGAGTCTCTTCCAAAAGAATTGTTACTTGCTCAAACTGTAAGTACCTATAATAGTTTTTATAATAAAAATTTCAAATGTATATATGTATATATACGTTTGTGTATTCTATAAAATTGCTATAAAGCTTTATAAAAAAAGTTTAAAAGTTTTCTTACTAATTAAACAGCTTATTACTCAATAGATATTGGAAGTAAAAAAATCCAGGTTAAACAAAAGTTTAAATGACAAAGCAAAATGTTGAACACTTTTTTAAATACTCAGATATTGCAAATAAATAGTAGCCCGTGAAAGTTATTTTCACTTTTCTCACTTTTCTTTCCTTGGAGGACAACGGTAAACACTCCAGTATTAAGGACAATGGTAATGGTTATTTGATTATCAAATATCTCGAACCAGTCAAAGTTAAATTTATAAAAAAGTTTGAAAACAAGCTCTTGTTTGGGTTGTTTTGTCTTCTTATAGAATATTAAAACCATAAATTATTAAGAATGTGAATGCAATCAATTGGGAAATATGTAAAGATAAGTGTTTGGCTGCTATGCTGTTTTTCCTTTATTGAGAAGCATCATTTAAGTGGCAGTTATATTTTTGACAAGATTACATTATGCCCTATTTGTGTTAGACTCATGATTAAATGTTCATAAACAAGACTGCAAATTTGTCAGAGACATTTTTCATTGAGTGCTTTATAAAAACAAGTTGGATATTTTTAGAATGAATGAGTTGAATACTTTTTTTTATTATTATTATTCATTCTTAACAAGGCTACAAGCAACCAATATTAAGTTGGGAGTTACTAGAAAAAAAGAATAGAGTTAAAAAGCAAGGAAATGATTGACAGAAGACTCGAAAAGTTGTAGATTGTATGAGTCAGGAAAACATGAAAATGGGAGAGAGGACCGAAGTGCGGGTAAAAAAATTAGATGAGTAAAAGTTTTTATGACATGCAGGAACAGATACAGTAAACAAATGAGACTTTGATGAGTCAAGCAAAAATAGTTTCAGTTGATGGAACTAGAAATAATAGCTCGTTTGAGGAGCGATCATGATATATAAGTATTTGTAGAAAAGAGAAAAAGATGCAACTTTACAACGATGGTAGAAAGGCTCAAGCTTGGCAGATAGAATGGTTCCAATTACACTTACAATATGTTTTTGGCCCTTGTCTAGAAGAGAAAGAGCATCATTAGAAGAACCAGCTCAAATATGACAATAGTATTCGATACAAGAGCAAATAAAAGATTTGTAGAGGTAGAGGATGAAATAAAGAATATGAAAATGGTGAGCACAATAAAAAGAAGCAATCGTAGCAGATGCTAACTTAGCAATATGGCTTTCATAAGAGGTCAGTAATGAATGATAATCAAGAAGACATAAAGAAGAGGACTTAGTGAGAGGGTTGCCATATTGGTTCATATTGGAATATCAACAGTATTGAGATTGTTGTTTGCAGTAATTAATTGAGTTTTGTTGAAGTTTTAGTTTACAAGCCACTGCAGGCTCCAATCTGTTACAGAAGTGAGGTCAGATTTAAGATTAGCTGCCTGTTCTAAGCCATCAAAAAGACTTTTTAACAAGACAGGAGTATAAAATTGAGTCAACTGCAAAAAGAGCTACTTTAGATGTAAGGTTGTTGAAAAGATCATCAATGTAGATAAGAAAAAAAACAGGACCAAGGATAGAACCTTGAGGTACCCTAGAAAAAGAGTGTTGGCCTTTGAGGATGACTTTAATAAAGTGGTAAGAAAGAAACAATTTGATAATCTCAAAAACTTTCCCAGATACACCATATATAACAAGCTTATGATGAAGACCAGCATGCCAAACTTTATCAAAGTTTGGCATGCTTCTAAATGTGTGAAGAGCAATGACTGAATTAGATACTTTTAGAATGAACAAGTTGGATAGTTTTAGAATGTATGAGTTGAATACTTTTAGAATGAAAAGTTGGATATTTTTAGAATTATTTTTAAGTTGCATATTTATAAATTAACATATTCAAAATTTGTTTTATAGCAATTTTTAATAAAGCAAAAAATTTAGTTAAAAAGTTCTTTTACTTTTATAATAATTAGTTAATAAAGTGTTTTTAATTGAAAACTATATATATATATATATATATATATATATATATATATATATATATATATATATATATATATATATATATATATATATATATATATATATATATATATATATATATATATATATATATATATATATACATATATATATATATATATATATATATATATATATATATATATATATATATATATAAATATATATATATATATATATATATATATATATATATATATAAATATATATATATATATATATATATATATATATATATATATATATATATATATATATATATATATATATATATATATATATATATATATATTTACATCTTCACTTCCAACAAAGTAGCAAGCAACCACTATAAGAGTTAGAAGTTACTGGAAGAAAAAGGATGAAGTTTGTATTTGACTTCGAGATGAAGTTTGTATTTCGACTTAAAAATTACATTTTTGCAGCTTGTCCAAAAGAGAAAGGGCATCATTAGAAGATCCACCCCAAATATGGCAACAGTATTCCATACAAAGCCGGATTTGAGATTTAGAAAAAAAAGTTAATCTTAGAAGATGAAGGTAGATGACTCATCAAGTGCATTACCATTCATAAATATAGGAAGATCTAAAATATTGCAATAACGATTGCCTGAAAAAAATTGACCTTGATCTGAATTAAAGTTCACCAGCCACTTTGAGCCTTTCCAAGCAATCAGAGAGTGTTGGCCTCTTATCATGACAAGAGTGTCATTAGCAAACAATGCCTTAGATGTGAGAATATCTGGAAGATTGTTAATGTAAATTAAAAGAAGTTACAGGGTTATGAAGTTACAGGATATGAAGAAGAGTGCTGTCCATCGAGGACAACTTTTATACTACGATTGGAAAGGAAGGACTTAATAATTTTAAAGGTGTTAACAGATACACTGTAAGAAGAAAGCTTTTGGAAAAGACCAGCATGCCAAACTTTATCAAAAGCTTTAGAAATATCAAGAACAATAGCCTTAATCTCTATCTAATGCACGATAAAATCAACTGGTTATTACTGTTAGCAAATCAGCTGTAGAACGAGAAGATCGAAATCCATATTGATGATCAGAAAGTAAGTTATTAGATTCAAGATGAGAGATTAAGTGTTTGTTAATTAAAGATTCAAAAATCTTGCTTATGATAGGAAGAAGACTGATGAGATGGTAGTTAGACAAATCAGATCACTCCAGAATTTTTGAAAATAGGGATAACAGATGCCGCTTTCCAGCATGCTGGAGTACAAGACTCTGATAAGCACTTGTTAAATAGTTTTGAAAGTATGGATAACAGCTCCAAAGAACACTTTTGCAAGACTACAACAGTTTGTGGATGGACCACAAACTGTAGAAGAGGTACGAATGTCAAGCAATGGATTGCCCTGTTTAATGGCTAAATTAAGTAAAACACAACTAGTGAATTTAAGAGTCGATATTGATGAAAAGTTCTTTCAAACAATTCAGCTTTGTCTTAAGGTGAGGTGACAAAATCTGAATCATACAAGAGAGGTGGAATAACAGATTTGTCCTTATTATTGATACTGTTAAAGAATCTCCAGAAGTAAGGAGAGTCTACTTTTTGTGCTGTAAATGGTACAATGATGAAGAGTATTCAGATGATGAAGAGGAATTGAGAGGGATTGAGAAAGACAAATGTTGAGGGCTTTAACGTCTGCAGAGTCACTGACGCTAGAGCCAAGCCATTCAGTGTGATGAGCATTATATTCGCCTACAACAACAATATTGGGTGATGGATAAAATGAGAGGGCGTTGTCGATTTGATCAGAAATAACATCAAAAAGAGTGCATTTAACATCTACCCAAGATGAGTGTTTTTATAGGGAGACCATCTCTAGCCTTTACTCAATCAAGAGCCCCAAAGCAGGAGGTGTTTTAAGTCGCAGTTGACATCTCCTAGGCTTTGCCTAAAAAAGTATATCTTGCAAGGCTGCAGGACATGAAGCAGGTTGTACTAGGTTACATGTTACCAGTAGCAGGTTAACCTGACCTGACAGTAATTTCAAAAACTTTCCCAGATACACCATATGAAACAAGCTTATGGAGAAGACCTGTATTTAATAAAGAAATAAAAATTTAAAATTAATAAAAGCTATCATTTTCTAATGTTAATAACTTTTTTACCATATTTTTACCTCCTTACCAAACCTCATAACATCTTTTATCTATTTTACCAGGCATTCGTTTCTACAGTTCTATTCAACGGCCAACCAAAAATAGTACTAGTTCTTATAAAACTTTTTATTTTAAATATTTTTTTTTTTCCAATTGTTTTAAAAAAATTGTTTTTAAAAAAGTATTTTAAATTCCCTGTGTAACCTAATATTTTTTACTGGATGAAAAGTTTCACTCATTTTGTTTCACCAAGTATTACTATCTAAAACAACATCTTTATTTTATCTAAAACACAAGTACAACAAAAATAATACAAATTATTAGTAGTAATAATAATATACTTACTTATATTTATTAGAAAAAGTTATTAAAACTGATAAAAGAATTTTCAGAAAAAATATAAAATTATTTTCGACTTTTTCTTTTACTGTCTTTTTTTATATTATCACAATGAGACAGAAAATAATTTTTTCATCACTTTTTTTTGTTGTTGTGGAAACTTGTTTATAATAAACTTTAATATTTATATTATTATTTAGGAAGAATATGTTGAGTATTCGCGATCTGGAAAAGTTGTGAAAGGTTTGTACATTGTTTTCTATAATTAAATTTATAGTATTTTGTACTTGGTTTTAAACATTTTAAATTTACAAGGTCAAGAAAAATTTTTGCATTTTAAACATTTTAAATTTACAGGTCAAGAGAGAGCTGTTACTAAATCAAAGTATGAGGAGGATGTTTATCTCAACAATCACACAGTACAATTAACTTTTTTGTTTTTAATTTTTTAAAAACAAAAATTATTTTTTTTACCATTATTTAGTCTGCAGAATTAATCTGTTATTTTTACGTATTTTAATCTGCAGATTTAATCTGTTATTTTTACCATATTTATATTATACTTTACTATAATTTATCTGTTTTTTTTATACTTTTGTAATGTTTTATATCAGACAACAATGTATCATCTGTATTTTAGTCTGTGTTTGGATCTTACTGGAACAACTTCCAATGGGGTTATCAATGCTGCCATTCTTTTATTAAAATGTCATATTGTACAGGTGAAGCTGGAAAATTAGCTTTGAAAGTAAGAAAATTTTATTTAGTTTTTTGATTTCAATTAAACTCACAATAAAAAAAATATTGAAACAAAAACATTAACACTCATTTCAAACTGAGTTTCGTTTTTAAACACATCTGTTAAATTAATTTTTTTTTTTATATATATACAAAAGTTTAGTTATTAGAAGTATTCTTAATTATTAAAAGTTTTGATAAAAACACTTTTTCATGTTTGTTGCAATTTTAGGAATTCAATTAGATTACAGAGTTTTCAGAATATTATTATTGTTATAACACTTACCATAATAAAAGTACATACCAGAATTTAAATAGTCTTCAAATACTGTTTGATATCAAATCTGTTTTATTTGTAGTTTGAAGTTTTTTTTAGAAAAAAGATAAACTATCATTAGTTGATCTTTTTTCTAAAAAAAAAGTGAGAATTTAATATATTAAATTTGCACCTAGTTGCTTAGTTGCATTCTGTATTATTAAGTACTATAAATGTGTTTTAAAAAAATGAACTTTGTTCTGAAAATTTTGCAGCTGTTGTTGCAACATCTTCTTAAGTTTAAATTACTAATGCAAAATTACAAAAAAATATTACATGCTTCTCTTTTTTTACAGAGTGGTGTTGAAGATATTTCTACTTCAAATAGTTCAAGCATTGCACAAAAGACTTTAGTTGATGTTGGTTTATTATTTATTATTAATTATTCTGTTTTTATATTATTCTTGAGTGTTTATAAGTTATTATATAATAAATTTAATAATAATAATAATAGTTGAAAAATATATAAATTTAATGTAAATAAAAAGTATTTTAATTTTGTTTTAAATGTTGAAAAGTTATAATATTTAAATAAATAATTTTTAAATTATCAAATAACTAAAATTATATTAAATAATATTTAATATAATTTTTTTGATTAATAAATTTAAAATCATAATTTAATAATATAAAATAGTTTTTTTATTACTATTAGATGCACAAAGAATCTTTTAAAGATAAAAAATCAAAAATGGCTGATGAAGATTCAGCAGCAAAAAACGAACGCCTTAAAAAGGTTAGTTTTAAATAACAAAACTTTCAAAAGAAAACTTTCAACTATTGTATTAAAAATAAATAAGAATTTAGAGAAATTTAGTTAGAAATTTTCTCTTTAAAAAATGGTACTGCATTTCTTAAATGCTAATTGAAATAACATCCTGAACCTAAGCAGTTGCAGAATATAGTTTTAAAAAATTTTTAGAATATATCTGCAAGTTTTGTTCTATATAAAGTTTTTATCTTTTAATTTTTGTTTTTTTATATTTCATTTTTTCATATTAAATCTGGTGTTGTATTTTATATCTTGGAGCACGAAATTCTTTTTTTAAAAATTTTCAGGTACTTGTGTGTTGTTTTTATGACACTTGTATGTGGTTTTTATTGCAACTGACAGATCTTCCTTGTTTTCACTTTTAATTCAGAAACAAAGTATACCAATCATTACTGAAGTACTTTTCATTGAGATAAAATGAGTAAAAACTAAAGGTTCCTTTATAAATTACTTTGAAATCAAAGTAATTTAAAGCTAGATAAATGAGCTAGAAAACTAAATGATTTAGTTGGAAAGCTGAATGAATGAGCTGGAAAATTGGATTATATTATTAATTGGATTATATAAATTGGATTATATAATGGATAATTATATGTCAATGTAAAAAATAGCAATGAAGTGATGAAGTGATTGATTTCATGTTTACTACCAGTTAAACATGGCAGAAAACAACTTGATAGACTTTTAAAATTTTTTAAAACCAAATCAATTTTTTAATCATTTTTTAATTTTAATACACCATTTAAGCAAATTTAAATTTTGTAAAAGGTCTGGACTCTAACAGGAAGGTTAAGAAGATACTTCTATGAACCATAATATACAGTTTTAATTTGAGAAGTATATACATCCAACTATAATTGCTAAAACAAATATTTACTATAAATTTTTGGAATTTTAAATGATTTTGAATACAAAATTTTTAGAATTAAAGTTAAGAATTAAATTTAGGTGGTAAAAATAAAGGAATGGCTCATGTATTTGCTTCAATAGAAAACAATTTTTTTTTTCTATAAAAACAACAGTAATAGTTAAGGTTGATTTAAGGAAAGAATATTGTTTGAAACTGAACATAAGCAGTTTTCAGATACTTGATCTATTTCAAATCCTTTTTACTAGATGGACAAACAAAAGGGTTTGTTTTGTTTTTTTAGCAAATTTTGTTTTATAAAGATATATTCAACTGTTAAACCCATGAGAACTTGAAAATTATTAAAACTCAAAATTAGCTTTCAGCATCTTTATATATATTTGCTGTTTTTCTTCTTTTTAATTAATTAAATTTTTTTTCTCAAGTTAAAAAGGGTGATCTTTTGTGCTGTCTCTTGTCATACCCCCCAGCGGTCATAATTTTCTAAACCTTAAAGTTTCATAATGGTGCATTACAAATCTAAAATGGTGTATTAGATAGAAATTAAATTTTTCACAAACACTTGACACCTTTTTCTGGATCTGGTTTGGGTCTCCCAATTTTTTATATTTTCTTTTATAGTTAGCCAAATACTTTCATGACATTCTGCTCTGGACAATATGGTGGGCTGCTTTCTTAGACACAAATTCAGCACCATTTTGTTAATACTATTAGTGACTTTTTGGAGTGGTTGATTGTAGCCGAATCAGCCAAAGTATTGTGGGCTTTTTAATAAATGGTAAAAAACATTAAGTGTTTTAACGTTTGTTTTTCAGTTGCTTATACTGCTCAGACAGAGAAAAGTATTTAATTATAAAAATCTTGTTAAATAAATTAAAACATTTATGTGTTTCTAAGCAACCTTAACCTTTTTTTGCATTAGTATCACCAAAAATGAATTTTGTATTCTGCTGTGTGAGTGGTATGATAAATGAGTATGATATTATGGGGGAGGGGGATCATTCGTAATCTTTGGAAAGAATAAAATCCAAGATGAAAAATTAGTAGCACATTTAATTTTCAATTTTTTAAATTAAACAAAGAAGATCATAAAGGTTCTCAATGCATCTTACCTAGATAGTCATTGTAGACAAACTTTAAATATTTGATGAGAAAATTGAAAAATAGTTTCAGCTTGTAAAGAGTTATCTGTCTATAATTAACCTTAACAAAGTATCTTATAAAAGTATTATAAATCTTATAAAAGTATTATAAATCTTATAAAAATATTATAAATCTTATAAAAGTAAACGGTTGACAGGAATAGCGTCAAAAAATAAATAAACCTTGGAATAGTGTTGAATATTAAAAAGACCTAATGTCCCCAAAAAAAAGGAACAGTGTCTTAAATAGTAAAAAAAAGGAACAGTGTCTTAAATAGTAAAAAAAAGGAACAGTGTCTTAAATAGTAAAAAAAAGGAACAGTGTCTTAAATAGTAAAAAAAAGGAACAGTGTCTTAAATAGTAAAAAAAAAGGAACAGTGTCTTAAATAGTAAAAAAAAAGGAACAGTGTCTTAAATAGTAAAATAGCAATAATGTTATTAATTTATTGTTGTTTTATCAGAAATAGTGATATAGTTAAAAATAAAAACCGGAATGTCACAATTATATATTTTTTTTTCCAAGAAAAATTTAATATATTATATTATAATTAACAAAATTTTTTTTTTTAATTTCAAATAAAAATGATTAAAAAAATTTAAAACAATATACCCTCAATTGATGTAGCGGCACTCCTTTGATGTTTTACCTACTTAAGATGTATGTAAACCTCCTGCATGTTCTACCCATTCACACAGTCGATATATATTCACTCCCTGCATATTCTGATTTTTAGATCACTTTAGGTTGATTTGTAACTCTTTGTTTTTTTGTTTTTGAAACTATTAATTAAACTCATTTGCGGCGTTACTCCTTATTCTGTTTTTCGACAATCAAAAACTCTTAGCAAAAATAGGAGATAACTGTCCAGTCCGCACCCTAGAAAACCGCAACATTCCTGTGAAAGCTTATGACCATGGGATTCCAAAAATGTAAAAATTAAAATCATCTGCCTACGTCCGTGAAAGAAAATCAATTTTGAGTTCTTTATTGCACATATATGTAAAATGACAACATTTCTATTTTTTGCATTTTTACAGCATTCTTTAAACAAAAATACATACAATAAATAAAAAAACATTATTCTAAAGGGATAAAAAGGTACATTCTGTTCTCACATAAAGATTTCTAATGTAAGGTCAACATAATTTATTCATAAATCTCCAATTCTATTTATTTTATGCTCAGTGTTTTCTTCAAAGATTCTTGCTGTTAATATCAACAAGGCACATCACAAGCCTTTTTTCCATATTCTGGATGACTGATTGGGCGTTTGTACCTTGCCCAATTTGTACTAAAGCAATGGTGCATTGCTTCTGTTGTTTGTTCGCTATAAATACCAAGTGGCATCTTTTTCCTCAGGATAAATTCCTTTATATGGAAAAACACAGCATGTGTTTTTGGTGTGACAGTTCCAACTGGCAATGCAAGGAAAGAAGCTTGAAACTTATCAATTTTTTCTTCAAACTGACTGTGCAACTTGTTGCCAAAACAGGATGATACAACATTTGGAAATTTTTGAAAAGTTTCAATGATGGGAAAAACTTGAAAAGCATTGTCTTTTTCAGCCAATGTTTGCAAAAGATCCAAGTTCTTCAGCAACTTATTGCAGGAATTTGCTTCAAACTGTCCACCATGAAAGGGTTGATGTTGTATATGCAATGCTTGAAGCCATTTATCTGCCTTTGGCCATGAATCTTTTAGAATCTTAAAAAGATGATTGACCACTCCAAGAAGTAGATGCAACTCCATTGGAGGTATTAGATCAATTACCAATGTAGAATCTTCGAGTGAAAGAACAGGCTCATGAACCACGTTTCCGAATTTCTTTGCATTTTTGGTATTTAAACCTGCTGCAGAGAACGCATGGAATGATTGCTTTAAAGAGCCAAAAGTTCTTGGAGTACCACAATTCACAAGATTAGAACTTTCCGCTGTGCACCATGTACATGGATGAGAGGATAAAAGAGCCTGCAGACCGCACAGGATGTTAGCCAATTTCATGTCACAAGAGGTAACAAAATTGACCTCTTGAATGTCGAGAAGGGAAAGAATGACTTTCACATTGTTGTAATTTTCTTGAACTCCTTCAGCCACAGCCACAAGAAGTTGTTTTTTCACTCCTGTATCCTTTGATGCTTGTGATGTAAGCAAGCGTTTGCTTGGAGGTGAAGCTTCACTTTGCATCTCTGGGTCCAATTCACAAACTCCGAGACAGACTTTTAAAAATCCTCCACCGCCGTCGATCCCCAATTTAATGACGTGGTTTGAAAAAATCTTCCGTGTCAAAAGTAAATCTTCAATAAAACTATTGAGACTCTTGCAATGTGCAACAATGTAATTTGAAGTTGTTTTGTCCGCGTTTGTAAATGCCGCTGTGGTCTGAGTAAAGCTCTCTTCACGATTTTTGCCAAGGTTTTGAAATTTTTTAACAATGTATAGCTCCAAGACTTTGGTTGTGCTTACATTGTTGATTGTTGTTGCAAGCTTTCTGATGCCATTATTGGACAACCCTGTGTTTATTTGAACCTGAGCAAGATCTTGCGCTGTTACAACTGGGTGATCCTTGAATAGCTGTTTTGCACTTGATCCTAAAACATATGAAAATTAACTTTACAGCAAATATTTTACCAAAATATTTAAATGATGTAACCATATGTTTACCTGGAGTTATAGGCAATGCTCTCCCACCCTTGGTTTGTGAAAGTCGAACTGTTCCATGTGGAGATGCATCCTTGCTTGTGATTGTTGAAGATCTGTTCCGCAACTTTACCATCATTGTCTGCCAGAGATCTTATATTCTCTCTAAACTGTGATACAGAGCATTGATGTGGCAATCCCCTACCAATTAGTGACAGACATTTTAAGCACCTTTTGTCAGAAATCTTTTCTTCTTTCGTGTCAGTGTCAAGAGGGTGCTTTTCAGTCAATTTCAACCGGACAATGCGACAAATCAAGCATTCACAAGGATTTCCTCTTGTGAGTGGTTTGACAACGATAGTTTCAAAGTTAAAAAGAGCTGGTAATTCACCAGGATGTCCTTCATAACGTTTCCTCAGAGCAGTTCTACAAGTTTCACACAGCCCTTGCGGTACTCTTACATCTTCAAAATTGATTTATTGTCTGTAGTTTTGTTGAATTTTTTCATGCAAAAACGTTGTGAGCTGTCTGTTTGCCTTTTTGAGACACAGGAGGCAAACAATTTTCCTGTTTTCATCATGATTTCTAGCTGAATGTAGGCAGATGATTTGAATGTTTACATTTTTGGAATCCCATGGTCATAAGGTTTCACAGTAATGTTGCGGTTTTCTCGGGTGTGAACGAGACAGTTATCGCCTATTTTTGCTAAGAGTGAAAAGTGCGACAGTTGTTGATTGCGAGATTCTAAATTTTGCGACATCATTCCACCACACCAAGTATATTTCCGATTACTCCTATATGGGTCATTTCATGTTTTTATATCAGGTTAGCTTATATTTAAGACTTGAGGTTATCACGCGCTTAATTTATATTATCCCCCTTCCCCCCCACCTTTTTTTCTTTTCTTTTTTTCTTCTCGTTTATAGAACATTTCTTATATGAATAATAAGATTTATATATAAAATGTCAGTAATGATTCTATAGAAAATCTTAGTAAACTTCATTGAAAAACAATAAGCAAATAACTGAACAAAAAATCAACTCTTTTTAAACTTTGTAATTTTGATCTTAACATTTAGTAACTCTACGCAAGTTACAATCGAGATTATTTTGTTTTTGATCGTGTTAAAATTAAATTATTTTTTTAAGTACTTATATTGTTAACATTTTTAGGCACTTCAAAAAGAAGAGGAACATATAAAAAATATGAGTTCACTATTAGAAATAGACGAAAGAAAGCGTGCATATAATTCGTTAAACACGGAAAACCGGGAACCTACTGAAGAAGAAATGACCGCATACCGTATAAAAAGATTACGATCAGATGATCCTATGGCACAGTTCTTGAAATAAGTGTTAAAATTATATTTTGTAATTATTTTGTATCAAATGATTATATTTAAATATATGTATATAGTATGTAACAATTTGCAAATATTGATCACCAGATTGATTCACTAAATTATTTCACTAGATTGATGATTAAGTTCATCCTAGTTCACAATGGTCTAAAAAACTTGATTTTCAGCCAAAATTACAATTTTGATGTTATCATTCTAAATCGATAATGCTGAATCCGTATCTGAAAACAGCTTTTGATTTAAAGGTTTTGTTGTTCAAATATCGCATGAGCGGCCCAGTCAAGAATTTATGGGCTGCAGCGAGGGAGGAGGTGGGCTCAATCAGATCCCACACACGCACACAGACACACACACATATTTTATATTAAGTACAAAACCAAGCCAAAGCAAGTACATATCAAGCCAAAAAATATTTTAGTTAAAAAAGTTAGTTGACGATTTCCGTTTGTTTTTTAAAAGTTTTATCCATTTTAGCAATAGTTTATATGGAGTTGTAAACCTCAAAAACAAACATTTATAACCGTAAATATTTTTTTATTATTATATTACCCTAACCCTAACTACACTGACATACACATTTTTTCTTTCCCATACCACAATAATACCACATAAATTTTTTACAATGATTTCAAATCTGAAAACCATTTTGTTCTATCACATCGCGTTCCAAAAAAAACCGGCTCTTAAACTCTTAGGGCTCTTAAATAAGTCTTTATCTGTAGTATACTCTATGCCATAATTTTGTTGATCTTTGTTTTTATACTTTGTTTTCATAATAAATATTATTGACATGACTACTCAAAAATATTTGAATTCTTCTGATTTGATTGCTACGCTTGTGAATTTTTTACCGACGTTGACCACCGGAAAACGATGACCCCATCATTAAAAAATGCCTATAAACTTTATTTCGACTCGAAAGTTGATGATGCGGAGAAACAGTGGAAACCTAATATCAATTGCTCCATTTGTGTAAATATTTTAGCTGGATAGCTGCGAAAGTCACGAAAGCACAAGTCATCGCCTTTTGGAGTTCCAATGATGTGACGTGAACCAACAACTCATGCCACTTACTTTTGCATGACAGTGATAAAAGAATTTTCATTTAAAAGGCTAAAATCAGTACCGATTTTTACATCCATTTAAAACAATCATGACAACCATTTAAAACAACTAAGACATTCATATAAAACACAGCGACAATCAATTAAAACAATGTGATTTTCAATTAAAACAATCGTGATTTTCAATTAAAACATTTAACGCATGCGCAATCTCAACATTCCATATTATTTAAAAAAGAAAGGTTTTCTTTATATATTTTTATTTTTTTTTGTTCGATTTTTTAAAATTATTTAAAATTTTATTTTATTTAAAATATAATGTTTATTTTCCATTTACTGTCGAGGTATGTTTTCTGACCTAAGACACGCTTCGAAAAAGCTTTCGCTGTGTGTGTAATAGTTTGATAAGTTAACATTAGTAAAAGATATGCATGGCTCACGCGTTCTTGAAATTAGTTTATTTCTTCCAGTTGGGGCCGTATTTCTTCGCATGTTATTCTTAAGATAAAAAAAATCTCTTCACGCGGATTCAAGAATAGTGAATATGTTGGCAAATATTTTATTTTAATGTTCTAAGTCCTCATCTCATCATTATGATGGATTCTGACATTATCGATCACCAGGGTGAATTCCTCCTCTGTCCCCAAAACTCGTACAACTTCATTAATATATTCTTGAAACAAAATTGTGTTGACTGACAGCTTCACAGGGAATAATATTTAAACCATTGACGGCCAATATCATCCAAACGTTACGCTGCCTAGGGCAATTGATCGGGTTTGGTGTTACTTCTCTTCTTTCCATGAATGACTGCGAAACATGTGTAAATTGATCTCGCATGTTTTGAGAAACTGAATTTCGCGGCATGAAGATTTAGATTGAGTTTTTCACGGCAATTAAGTTTCAGATTGAATTTTTTTTTGATCAACGACCAATCTAAATGCAAATTTTCGCGTATTTTGGCAAACAGAATTTCGCTGCATGCTTTAATGAAAATCTTATATCCTCATGCGCTAAATGTTTTAATAGAAAATCATAGTTGTTTTAATTGAACCCGTCATTTCGAAAAGGGCACAAGTCACACTTTTTTCAAATTTCACTTTTTAATGCAATTTTATTTATTCAAGTGTTTTACATATTCCCTTTGAAGGAGAAACATTTTCATATGCCACAAGTCAACTTTAAATGCAAATGAAAATTAAAGTCTGTTTGAAAATGGCACAAGTCCCGGACTTATGCCTTTTTCAAGTGAAACAAAGCGCAACTGTAGTGACGTAATTTCACTTTTTTTGTAACAAAAATGGAAAATCGCGAACTTCCTGAAAATGCATATAGATCTAGAAAAAGAGTGTCTGGTATAAGAAACAGTGGAAATTATAAACACAAAAAATTAAAAAAAAGCCAAAATTGCTGGAGAAACTTATAAAAACCACAAAGGAAATGATGTGGCACCAAGTCAAACGGGTGCTTCTTGTAGGTTACTTTTTTGTTCTTTAGAGTATGACTATATTCGTTCTCAAATTTATGCTTATTTACTCATGTTTTACCACCAATAATTGGAGGTAAAACATCTTGATATATAATTATTACAATATTACCTCAATAATTCTATTTATTTACAGATGTAATTCAAAGTGTATCTGAAGATTTTATAGAAAGTACAATTCAATTTGTTAACAAATTTGATTGTAAAAATGCTCAAGATACATATTTGCATTCATTGATTGAAAAGAAGGAAGATGGTTTAGATCTAAAGAACCTAATAAAAAAGAATTTTCTTTTATTTATCACATTTAGATTGAAGGTGTGATAAGAAAAGTAAGCAAGAAAGCTTTTTGCTGTATGCATGGAATTTCTATGAAACAAGTTAGACATTTATGCATTTTATTAAAAAAAAAAGAGCAGCCTATAGATTACAGAGGTAAATCTCTGTGATCACGATACAACGCATTACCTTGAGATACGTTAACAAAAGTACGTGAGCGAAGTATGTACCTTTGTGCTGAATTATATTTTTAAAAATATTGGCAACAAAGCCAAAGAACTGCACCTATTTTCTAATGGTTGTGCAGGCCAAAACAGAAATCATGCCACGGTCCGAATACTTTCATCACTGTTAGCTAAACTAGATAGCAATATAAATGAGATACAATATTACATACCAAAAAGAGGTCACTCATTCTTGCCAAACGATAGAATGTTTGGAACAGCAAAACGACATTCAAAAAAATGATCGGATTTACACACCAACGATGTAAAAAAACGGTGGCTAAACCATTATAAGAAACTTGTGCTATCTGTGGATTCCTATAAAAAAGGAGTACCCAAGGACAAAAAACTTACTTTTAGTATTTCTAAAATTTCACATTTCACATTCTCTAATACCACAGCAGGTTTAGTGAAAACATGTGAATCCATAGATTGCTTAGTCAGTTATAATTTCCAGCTATTACAAAGGATGGGTACCCGGTCAACCTTACCATTAAGTAGTACTCCTGCATATGTTGGAAAATTACCTATCAATGAAAAAAATATATCAGATTTGAAAAAAATATGAAAAAATTTATTCCATATTCAACAGAATATGGAATATATTTTATACAAAAGTTTTTGCTTCGCCAACAACTTCGGCAAACAATGAATTCCGAGAAATAATTGATGATTACCTAACAATAAATGTTTTTGTATAATAATAAGTCATTATTATTCTGATAATCTTTGGTTTTTTATATACAAAAAAGCGTTCATTCCGAAAAAGACATAAGTCCATAAATTTAAATTAGAAATATATGTGTTATATATTATTTTTTTATAACAAATAAATCTCTAAAAACTTATGTATAACTTTTATATATCTACTGTTATCTTTAGTTTCTTTAGCACCATAGACTTTTTTTCTAATAAAGTAATTTTTGTTGATCCTGAAAAGTTTGAATAAATGGACTTGTGCCCTTTTCGAAATGACGGGTTCAATTAACATCATGCATGTTTTAGTTAACATCATGCATGTTTTAATTGAACATCATGGTTGTTTTGCCACTACAGTATGTGTATAAAAAATATGTAATAAAATATGGTTTTGCATACATTTAAAACAAACATGACATCCATTTAAATTTAAAATAAATTCCATTAAATTAAAATAAATTAATATAATATCAACAAAAATAAATTTATAAAATATTAGATAAATAAATATATAAAGAAAACCTTTTTTTAAAAAATAATATAGAATGTTGAGATTGCGCATGCGTTAAGTGTTTTAAATGAAAATCACGATTGTTTTAACATTGTTTTAATTGTCGCGGTGTTTTGAATGAATGTCATGGTTGTTTTAAATGGTTGTCATGATTGTTTTAAATGGATGTAAAAACCGGTATTATATCCCAACATTCAATCTGTATCAATAAGGGTACATCACTAAAATCATCTTGATTAAAATAATACGCTAAAATCATCTTGATTACAATAATACAGTATTTCTAAGTAAAATTAAATTTTAATTTGAGTTTCTTTTTTGTGTTTTTAATTTCAAAATTTTTTGGCAGTACAATTGAGACTTTTAGTTGCGCATTTGTAGAGTTTATTATAAAAAATTACGTTTTAAATGAAAATCACGATTGTTTTAACATTGTTTTAATTGTCGCGGTGTTTTGAATGAATGTCATGGTTGTTTTAAATGGTTGTCATGATTGTTTTAAATGGATGTAAAAACCGGTATTATATCCCAACATTCAATCTGTATCAATAAGGGTACATCACTAAAATCATCTTGATTAAAATAATACGCTAAAATCATCTTGATTACAATAATACAGTATTTCTAAGTAAAATTAAATTTTAATTTGAGTTTCTTTTTTGTGTTTTTAATTTCAAAATTTTTTGGCAGTACAATTGAGACTTTTAGTTGCGCATTTGTAGAGTTTATTATAAAAAATTACGTTTTTTATGAATGTGTTGTATCAACTATATAATTCTCAAGGTGAGTAATAATCACATTGCAAAATAACACCAGTTATTAAAGTATCATAA